TCGCCAATTGACTTTGCGACGTTGTTGATCACGGTAAATGCGATCGGCTGCGACCCTTGGGATACCATAGTTCGGTAGGATAGAGTTCGCACTTGAAAATCTTCCTCTCCGAGCATCTTACTCTGGGGTAATCCTTCATTCCTTTCTTTCAGAGGTTTGATTGCCTCGTTGCTCCATGCGTCTGCTTGTCTGATCACGAGCACGCTGACCAAAATCAAGCGCTTCCACCGTACAATCATTGGCCATGGGTTGTGCGAATCCGCTTCTCCCAACAGTGGCATATCCACGTGCACCTTCCAATCCCGATTGTATTGAGCCTGTGCCACCATCTCCGTTACATACTTCACTTCTACTTCGGGAATGCTGAATGCCGTGAACCCGAACATTCCTGCGTTTCCTGTTCCTTCGGCGACGTTTGGTCCGCGCTTTATCTTGCACGTTAACATAGCCCCTGCGATTGTTGTCGTGTCTGGAGTCCAATCGCGAAAGAGCAACAAACTGCTGGCCCAACCTAGCACTTCCGCCTGGAGCTCCACGAGATGGGGGTTGTTCTGTATCTCGTATGGCATCATCCTCAGCAACCATCTGAACTGTTCGAAGTTTCCGACCAGTTGCTTCATCTCTGGGCTCGAGTGCCCTTCCCATATTTCCTCGGGGATTAGTTAGCATGCTTCTTCCGCGATCCTCCTCCACTGTATACCACCTTTGTGTGAATCGTCCAATTCCCATCCTTCAGTTGCTCGGTTCATGGGATGTCGGTTGGTCAATGGGATTGGATGTTTGCTGATCTTCATCATGTGTCGAATCCAACCTCGGTGCAGCTGTTCCTCTAGAACGTTCCGGGCATCTTGGAATCTGTTCGCCATCTTTTACTTATTCGTCGTCTTCGCTCAAACAGCTATAGTAGTTGTCGTCTTCGTAGATTGTGGGCAAATTTGTCGTTCGTTGTTTCTCCTTCTTCTCAGAAACTTCTTCGTTGTAGCCGTTTTGCTTTAAATCGTGGAGTGTTTCGCTGTCGCAATCTGCCTGCTCTCGGTTTCGCAGGACAGATAGGTAACGTCTGGGTTCTCGTTGTATGTGACGGATTCTTCTTTAGTCAGTCGTTGTTGTTCTTCTTGGAGAGATTTTAGGGCGTCCATCGCCTCATAGGTTAATTGCTCCAAGCTTTCTCCATCTTCATCCGCGTCATCTCCGCTTTCAAAATAGTCCCAGAACGCATCCCATTCTTTTCTTTCATATTCCGATGCTTCTTCTAATCCTCCTGTTTCATCGTCTGACAACTCTACTCCTCGGCATGGCATGCATATTTCCTCGCTCATCGTCATGAATGCAATCTCTTCCGTTGCTTCTTGTGCTGTGTTTGCTACTTCTACATTTCGTTGTTCCGCCTTGAGTTTTAGGCAATCCGATTTCCTGTGACCAATCTTTCCACAGTGGAAGCACTTGCCGCTGAACTTCTTCTTTCCTTGAAATCCGCTAATGCTCCCATTGTTCCTGCTAAATTTACCGTTTGACTTTCCTTGGTACTTTTGTCCGTAGCTTCTTCAGTTCGAGCCTTTCTTGTCTGGGCAATCTTGTTGCTTGTGTTCGATCTTTCCACAGTTCCTGCATCTTCCCTTGAATTGTTTTCCTCCAAACATGAAAGCTGTTTCGCCATTGTGGTCTGTCGACGTGTTCCGTGCTTTAATCTAATCGTAGATTTCGCATAAGTCATCCCACACACTCTTTACCGTTGAATTCCATGTTCTGTTGTCTTGATCCTTCGCAGAACATTCTTCTTCACTTCATGGTACACTCCGAGTTCTCCCTCCTTCTTCGGCATCTTCTCAAGAAGGTCCTTGTGTCACTCTTCTTCCGATATCTTGAACCCACCCTTCGCTAGCTTCTTGCGTTTCACGTCGAGTCCAATCTCGAACTTCTTTGGGTTTTCCTTGATTTCCATCTTTATCGCGTAGTCTTCCGTTCGTCGAGCTGCTACCTCAACACTGTCTTCAAACAAAAAACAACAACATCGTAGAGGTCCAGCATGGATTCCCACATGCCCTTGAATATCCCAGCAGCATGGTCAGACGTTTGGTGTGAGGCCAGAAGGTCGAAGGCGACTTGCACTTCGATGGTCTCCACATCGATCGAATCCAGCAGTATCCCAGCAGCCTTGCTGTTCTTCTTCTGCAAACTCTCGACCTTTTCCATTTCGTCTTCCGACAACTTGCCTGTACCTTTAGGGTTTTCCCAGTTTTCCGGTTTGATCTCCGTATAGTCCTTCATTAGTTCTATGTACCCATACTTTGATAATGGGCCATCATCTTGACCTTGTAGACCCTGAACTTCTCATCTTTACCATCGAAGATGGGATACTTGCTCGACGATGATACCTCTAACTCCGTAGACCTCTTTACTTACTTCTCAATTCTTCTCCTTTCTTTTTGACAACCTGGATCCAAGCTCATTCTTTCCTGATAGCTATCGTTTAAAACGTGTTGAAAAGTTGTGAACTTGAACGCACATTTTCTCTAATTTAATCAATACCCTTCCAGCTCCACTGTCTAGTAGACTGGCTATTCGTTTCGGTTTCTCTTTCTCTCTCGTGCAGAGTGTGAGCTCTACAACTGAGCTCCGATTGCATACATATACCAGGATCTTTCGATCCTCGGCTTCTCGCAGTTTCATCTACAGATAGATCTCGTCGATCTATATTCCTGAAGTGCATGGTTGGCCCTGGAGGTCTTTCCCACTTTACTAAACCTATGGACCTTCATCCGTCCATTCATTTGCTCCATCCCGTCGCTCCTTGCATTCATCTCTTCGACCTAACTTCCTAACCTTTGTAGTTGCATCATCTAGACGACCATTGTCCTGGTTCCTCATACACCTGGCCATCTGATGATGATCGGATAACCATCTGATTTGAGTCACACATCCCCAATCACGAACCGTGATTGTGGATCTCGAGTCGTCTGTCCGTCATACGAAAATACCTTTCTGACAATACGATTTTAGCAAAAAGTGACTGAATTTTAAAAGTAGTTTTACTCTTGATCAGCACAATCGCCGAAACACAGGCTTTACTCTGTGGTAACTTTTCGGTTGTTTGACTTTTTCATCCCCCATGGGAATCATCAGTGCTTGGGCTATTGTGGTACTTATGAAATCGTGGTTTATGTCAGCATGCTCCATATATTTCATTGCAGGAGTTGATCAGCTTTTCTGGCGATTCTCTGGATTGTTTCAGTATCTCGAGTCGCTCCCTGTTGCATAGGCTGCAGTGTCGTGTCCCGAAGGTCTTGACAGTGCTGATGGGGTTGCCTTGCCATAGGATGCTAATTTCGATGCTGTTCCTTTGAATGGTGCCGTTGAGTTGGAATGGTGAAGGAGGTGCGAAGTTTTGGAATTCGTTGGCGAAGTGTCTTGCGTATGAATCTGACTTGCGTTTTCCGTGGAGGAGACGCATGACGTCGGTGAAGTGTTGGTATGTTCGTTCTTTGACGTTTCGTTGGGTTGTCCCAATGCTGACCTTTCCCATTCCCGTACCGTATGGATGCTACCAGGTACCAGCACAGCAGGAGCTCGATTGGGACAACGCTGTGTCTCGGGTTGACGATCACTCGACTGTTTCGTTTTACAGGCAATGAGATGTACGGTACCGGTACAGGGCCGGCATTCTTTTCAGGGAGGCTCGTAGCCACAAGGGGTGAAACGGCTGCATGCATGTCAACCACACAATCTATCATCTTAATCACGTTAAAAAGTGGCTACCAGAACAAACCGGGGTTTGGGGCGCAATTCGTGCATACAAAAAAAGAAGCCTTGAAGATATCTCATTTGTCTTTTTTGACGAGTGGGCCGGTGAAAGCGAAGAGAGTTTGTCCAAGATTACATTCCTCGTGAAACCCCCCTTTTAGAAAAGTCCAGTTGCGTACTGTTCTTCCACGGTGCGTCTCGCGAGTATCAATGCATCATTCACTACTTGCTCCAAGAACTATTCGAGGAGCTAACTTCTGTTTGCGTGGACTCCGTGTGCTCCAGCATTTTTTCAGTCTCCTCGCCACTGGCGTCCTCTAGGTCTGTACCCGACTCTTTGGAATTCTTGACTCGATCGCTTGCTTTTCGTTCTTCCATTTTGGACAGGGACGACACCGTTAGGCCACCCAACACGAGCGCAGCACCCAATACGTAAAACCACGAGAACTCCTTTGGAAAAATAACGAATGACAGCACCAGAGTCATGGCTTTTCGAACTGTGGCCACGAGCACTGCCGCCACACCACCAAATCGTTTGACAATGGTCATGTGGACAGATATGGCGATGTAGGCAATGAATGTGTATATCAACATGTATACCCGCAGAGTGTGCGATGTTCGAGCAAATTGTAGTAATCCGATCAGATCTCCCGAAGCCAGTGTCGTGACGGTCATGACCATGAGCGTGAAAATGTTGGTAAAGAATGTGACTTCTAGCCGGGAGGATCCCATTCGGAATAGATTTTCTTGTGCATTGGGGAGGATGGCATCGGCACAGACACTCAAAGAGACAAGCGTCAATCCGACGGGATGAAAAGTGGGAGATAACTTCCAATCGGCTGCGGCAAACATGACCAATCCAGCACAGATAGCCAAGGCGCACGAGTATTCTTTACTTGAGAAGACCTTTCGGTGAATGATCGAAGCAACCAGCATAGTTGGGATAAGTTTGCAGGAGCGAAACACCACCTTTGTCGGAAAATTGATGAAATTCAACGCCAAATTCGAGAGCGATGAGGAGGACATTAAACAAAATGTCAAGAGGGGATACGCGGACATGGGAGCCACACGTCCTGTTTCTTTGGCATAATACGTTCGTTCCAGATATGAGCAGACTGCCACCCTGCAATGGTTGGAAGAATCACCGAAGGAAAACATTAGAAACAACCAGGGGTAGCACGCCATCAACTTCATTAAATTCAGCCAGATCAAAAGCTCACCCCAATACTTCCATATACCCCAGCATGATTCCAAAATGAAAACCCTCAATGGACATCATGGTTTCTTGCAGCAGATTGTGTATTCCAAAGAAGAAGAAAACACCAGCCACAAGGACAATAAATTGGGCAGGTCTTCCCAATTGTTCAAACTTCTTCTCCAGTCTTGCCACAGCATGTTGCTCATTCGTCGGTGAACGCGGTTGTGTCATCTTCACCTTTGCCTTTCTTTGCTGACAACAGAGAGCCAAGCTGTGAGGAGATGGACGAGTGAGGTTATTATGGTTGAGAAAGAGGTATGGCGGCATGGCACAGCGAATGGAGGCGATACGGCTGGTTCCGGGCTGCGTTGGTCATCGCTGATTGATTTGTTGGCGTGTGTTCCGCGCTTTGCTGCTGACGTCGAGAGCCTTTCCGCGAGTAAAATAGTTCCTGGGAGTTGTTCTAAGCACGAGTAACATTTTAACGGCAAGAGTGCTTTTCCAGTTTCCAGCCGCAAAGCTGAAAGACAGTGACATCTGTGGCTCTACGAACCTGGTACCGGTACTATCGTACCGGTACCGGTTACTTGTAGTATTTGATTCGATTCTTGGTTGTCACTGCAATGCAGTAGCTGTATACTCGTACATGTTCCTTCCTCTTCATCAAGTTTTAACAAAAGCCTTCACCTTCATTCGAACGCAAATGATAGCTACATGGTCCATTCATTCATTTTCAATTGGCAGAGACGGTGACTGGACGAGGATGTTGATGCTTGTGATGCTTGCGATGCAGCTTCAACCAGCCATAGAACACAGAATGATTGGGTATCTGTGGATAGTTCTGGCGAGAGCCGGCCAAGAAAGCATTGTCACAATCAAGAATTTGCGAAAGAACCTGACAGGCTCCAACCTCTGGATGTCGATCTCATCGGGACGATGAACGAGTCTCGAGTCTGCTCTTCTCTCGATAGTGATGCGAAGAAGTCGTTCTTGAGGAACCCATTGATGGACCTGATTGGCGAACAACTCCGCCTCCATAATTTTGCAAAGACTAAATTCTCAAGAGTTTGGTATGACGGGGCTTTCACTCTAACTTTTGGCGTCATAGTACTGAATTACCGCGACGTTGAAAGAGCCTCTTCGTCAGGGTTCACCTCAAGCAACCGTCAACATCCAGATTAAAGATTGTGTCGAGCACATCCGCTCCAGTCGTGGTACGTTTGAAGCGTTTTGAGGGCTTTTATCTTCTAAAGAGGGCTTTTATAATGAAATATGCAGTGGGTAGACCAGACTACAGTATCCACGTCTATTGTAGTACCGGTACCGATAGGCTCGAACTGGAAGTGATCTTCGTACTTTGTTGTCCTGAAAGATGGATCCTCGTAGAGGTGATGCTGGCATCCAAACCGAAGGTTGCGTCTCTGCGGGCACACAAAGTGCATCAACAGGTTGTTGAAGGCGTCCTCAGATGTCACATCCACCCAAACAGAAGAACATCCGCAATGACACAAGGGCCTACTAGCCGCTCTCGGGGCGCCATCCCACCAAAGGTAAGGCGGCTCGGTTTAGAAGGCCGGAGGAATGGTTGACGTGTGTTGAATGGCTTCGGCAGGCCCAATGGTATCCGCACATTCAACGGTCTAAATGGTTTGGACAACGAGGACAGTCTGGTCCTTGACAGAGCTGAAAGCAATCACTTTCAGTGTTCTCTTGCCTGAATCCTTCACGTCTGAAATCTTGGGAGAAAACTGGATTGATCCTGATCTTCTGGGACGCGCTGGTGTTGGAGACCTGACGAAGGTTGGTGTGAAGAACGTCAAATGTGACGACTGTGGAACCAGCAGCGAGAGTTGTGTCCTTGATAACCGGCACATTCCCAAAGTGCTACATCTCATGCTATGTGGTGAGACTCAAGAAGGCAAGGATTTCCGTGACGCTTTCAAGACACTGTTGGAAATGGCATGGCCTCCAAATGCTGAGTTTTGGTTGTGCTGCTCCAAAGACCGCACCAAGATCGAGGCCTGCCTTGAGCCTGACCACGTCTTTGTGCCGCCTGAAGGCATCCCAATGGCACCCCACTTTCTCACCACCAAGTTCGAAGCTGGCCAGCAGGAGGCTTTGACTGCCGCACTCATTTCCAAGATCAACGTGCATGGAACTACATTGAAGATGGACTTGGCAGGAAGGTTTGACCTTGGTGCTGCTGGGGTACTCACCATCACCAGGAATGAGCCAGATGCCTTCCACCACTACCTTGGCAACGCCTGGGGCAATGTGTTCTTGGATTGCAAGGCCAGCCCTGAGGATCCCTTGTGTGCTGCAGCTGCTGAGGAAGACCACTTTGTCGGTCGCCATGAGGAGTCTCATAATCTTCCATTGTTCACCTGCAGCGGCGAGAGCAGTTACCCTATCAAGGCATCTGGGAAGTCTTGCTCTAGTGAAGACATGGCCAGTAATGAGGCTGGTGGATGCGACTTTGTGGCGGCGGCTGGAGAGTGTGATGTGGTCTGTGTGGGTGGCATGTGTGGTACCAACCAGCCCTTTGAAGAGGGACGTGGTTCCATTAATGTCCTCTATGTGTACATGGATGAGTACGACGTTGCAGGTTTCGTGAATGGTCAAATCCTAGCCATTGCAATTCCTGCTGTTCTTGCTCTGCTTCTTGCGACTGGGCTCCGTTGGCTGAACCTCAAAGGCCGCAATCCCCGAAGCCACAGCGGTGTGGTCTCCGAGGCTTCGAATGTAAAAGAGTCTGCCCCTTTTCAAGGCACCGAAACTAACGAATCTGTTGAAATGGGCGCGTAAGCAAGGTTTTCACATGTTGAACCCACGACAAGCACTTCTACCGTAATGATTTGAGCAGCTGGAGAGGGGCGTGTGACCACAGTTAGTTGCAAATACTCGCGATACAATACCTCAGCAGTAGCCTAAGTTATTTGAATAGGTTCCAAAAAGTTATTGAAAATAGGTCCCAAATTAAATTTGTTTCTTACTGCGCTGCGGTTCGCTCGACTACTTGGAGCTTTCAGAATCCCCCAAGAACATGTACTGGCTGCGGACGCTCTCCTGTTGAAGCGGCAACGTACCGTAAAGCAACACCAAGCTTCGTCTCGGGTTTGAACCAAAGTTGCCCCTTGCTAGTATCACCGAGTCACGATACTCTATCTGTGCTAGCTATTTTTTATTTTAAAATAGCAGGGCAGGACAGTGAGGACGAATTTTCAAATAGCATTTTTTAGCGGTGACAGCGCATTCCTGTGCTTCTCGATGGGAACATTTTGTACGTGCGACTGTGAAGTTTGGCAATTCCTCTATCTTGCTTTCTCCTTGTCCTGGCAAGGCAAGGCAAGGCTTGTATTTATCTTATCTGCCTACCGTAGGACAGCGTTGGATAGATTTCTGCAATCGGGACAACCATCAATATACTTTCAAGCTGCCGACTCCAACATGCGCTCCCACATCATCCGACGATCATTATAAATTTTGGTACTGGTTTCATGCCCAACCACAAAGCCATCCGCTTTCTTCTGCAGAGTGCAACAACTGCATTTCTGGATCCTCTAAATTAGTCGCACAAAAAGAGTCCACAGCTCTTGCCTCCAGGGTAAGTGACTGAAATGCCTGAGATTGATGATGCGTTTGAGGACCAAGAATTGGCAGACAGAATGCCTGATGATCTTGTTGAGAGCATTCCAAGCGAGAAACGATCTCGGGGGAATTCGATTGGGGGCTCATAGCTGCGGAATGGTTTCGAGGATTTTGCGTTGGCTGCGCCCTTGGAACGAGAGTGATTGCGACGATTCCTTGGTTTTCGGCAACAGGATTCAACGGCAGATTCACTTCTGCTTCCTTCGTCAATTTCTTCTTCTTCTTCAATGGGTTCGGGCTCTTCTATTTTCGAGTCAGAGTCGGAGAGACTCTGCGGTTCTTCCAGAGTCGATTCTCTTATCAGGTCCTCTCGAAGGTTCTTGTACTGGCCTTCAATACTTGCCAACAATAAGTTGGACTCTGCTGAGGTAGTTGATGATCTGCCTGGGGAAGGAGCATGAATAGGTGTGATTGACCTGGCGGCAGTTGCACCGCGTGTCGTCGACGTCGCAGATCTTGCTGGGGAAGGAACTGGTGGAGGCCTGTGTTTTTCGTGTGCCTGGCATTTTTCGTGCCATTGCGCTTTTGCCGAGGAAATATCAGACCCTCTCTTCTTTGTCGGTGAGAATGATGGTTCCCTTTGTTGAAATAATCGCTGTCTCGGGTAGTCACTCTTGCTGTTGTTAGCTGGGGAGAATGCCCTTCTATCGTTCCTATTTGCCGGCGAAAGAGCCGATCTTGATCGTGGAGGTACTCCCGCCACGGTTTTCTCCACCGTCCTCACATCCGTCTGAACAGTCAATTTAGAGGGCACCTTACCAACCGCCAAATTGACCTCCTTAATCCACATAGCGAGCTGCTGAGATCCAGTCCCAGTCGTCCTCGACAGATGCAAGGAAAAATCTTCCTCTAGGCTTAATTTGGAAGCGGATTGAGCTTCGAATGGCACCGCGTTTTCGTCATTGGGATATACGTATGCCTCCAGTTTTTCAAAGCCTTGGCTTGTTGGAGTTCTCTGTTGGGTTGTTGGGGCTCTCGGTTGCCGATGATGTTCCCGTTCATGTCTGGTTCTGGTAGTTCTGTCCGCAATGACGGGACGATCCTGACAACGGCTTGATCTGGAGCCTCCATAGACTGATCCTTCTGTTGTGACACTGGTATTGGATACCAGCATTCTTCGACTTGCGCTCGACGCACTCGCCACAGTGCCCGAGGCAAACCGGTCCTCCGAGCCGACATTCTCATCATCGTTCAACAAGGACTCATTTCCCGACCCCACTTCATCAATTGATTCAAGCATTGACGCCTCAGGGCATCTTTCGTCTTGTGCTTCTTGGTAACTCATGTTTGCATAGCTTCGTTTTACTGCATTGGAATGAATTGGCTCGGTCCATTTGCTTGTCGTCCTCCGTGGGTTATTCCAGAACCAGACCCTTGGTCGAAAATCTGGTGGAGTGCGTGAATTGAGCGAGCAGCCAGGCAAATGGTCACTTAGGCTGCATGGTCGTGACTGGCGAGCGTTCAGGAACCAGGCACGCGTGTGGCTGTCCTCTTCGTCGCTAATCAAGAGAAGCCCTTTGCGGCATGCTCGCAAACTCTGCTATTATTAGCTGCAGTATCAGACGGTAAGCTTATGTACGGTACTGTAGAATGTCAAAGCGGAGGTTTGGATTGTTGATCATTCAAAATCTGAGTTGCCTCGCTACATGTAGACTATGATCGATAGACTACAACAATGCTTTCTGGCATGGTTACTGTACTATTGGGCGATTGGAGTAGGACCGCATGCTGCTTTTTTAAAATATCGAATTGTAATTAGGATTCATTGCGCATCTTCCGGGATGGAGGCAACGAACAGACGCAACCGTCATGGAGTAAGACGATCCCCTTCCACGGCAGCTAGTATCTTGGTCGTCATAGTCTGCCGCCTTGTATCGGTCCAACCGGTATACTAGTACTGACCTGTTGCCCAGGTGTCTTCAACGAATGTAGGATCTAGCTAGCAGCTAGCTAGAGCTAGAGATGCATATGCACGAAGCTGAGATCTGCACGCAATAATTAAATGACGCAAGCTGGCTCTTTCCAAACTCGCCACGACGTGTCAATGGTGAAAGGATGAAGGGCTGGTACGGTACTCCTTCGGGCAATGGCTGATCATGGCTACTACCGGTGAAAGCAAGTTTGCAGGTTGACATATAAATTGCACATCCCCGGAAGGGCAAGCTGGA